GCGACGCAGTCAGATTTCATACGAGGCCAAGTGTAGGAATGCAAAAGGTTCGCATATCTCTTCTTCCATCCAAAATGGCCTTCGGTGTCATGGCATTCCCCCAAGATCAGACTTTTGATCTCTTCCACGTTTGGAATACAAAGCCTATCATGCACATCAGTCTGCTCAAACAATAGTCCTTGTGTAATTCGATAGTTAAAAAACTCTTGTGGCTCTTCCTGCATACGCTTAATCATAGCACCATAAACAGGATCTGTGGAATACGCTTTTCTAATCTTCTCTTGCACATCGGTGCCCACATCTAAATATATTACAATGGCACCATAGAAATCAGAGCTCCAACTTAATGCATTAGCGACAACATTATATTTCCCCTTTACTGGCTTTAGCTCAAAATCATACTGATCAATCTCAGCGGCCCACTTAGTAAACTTAGGTGTCATCCAGGCCTGTGTTTTAAGCCAGCGAAGTGTCTCATGATCTGAGTACACCTTGAAGTGGCGTCCTAAGAGATAGTGTCGCCAGTGATCTAAAGCTTCGCGGAGAGCAAACAACTCCCTCTCATACGTAGAAGCGGCGACTTTCTCATTACGCGGTCGTCGGGACATAAATTCAACATGCCTGTATCAATTACCGTCGTCTTGTTGGAGTACAAAGCCTATCCCGTACTGACTGGCGTCGGTTGTGACGACAAGGGCAAAGAAGGATCAACAACCTTCAAAACCGGATAATTAATTCGACATCTCTTTAGACGTTTTAACGAAGCCGTAAAATCCGAGTCCCACTTCCAGATGGTTTCTTTCTTTAGCAATCTGCGAAGGGGTGCAGCAATTATCGTGAAGTGTCTAACGAACTTCCGATAATAGTTGGCTAGCCCAAGGAACGACCGCAACTCAGTCAAAGTGTGGGGGTTAGGCCAATCACGAATTGCTGCAATCTTTGTGTCTTCCGGTTTAATTCCATCACCATCAAGCACATGCCCCAGATATAAAACTTGACGCTTAGCCCATTCACACTTCTTGGGGTTCAATTTCAATTTTGCCTCACGTAATTTATTTAGCACAAGTCGAAGGTGCTCACAATTTTCTTTCGGATCTTTACTAAAAATCAAAATATCATAAGATAAACAATGACAAATTCATCAAGCCACTCGCGGAAAAGCTCATTCATCGTTCTTTGGAAAGTCGCAGGGGCATTCGTAAGACCAAAAGGCAACACAATGAACTCATAGTGCCCATACCTTGTTCGAAAGGCAGTCTTGTATTGGTCTTCTGGCTCTACCTCAATCTGATGGTAGTCAGACTTCAAATCAATCTTAGTGAAGTACTTGCTACCCTGCACTCGATCCAACAAATCGTCTATTCTTGGCAGTGGTTTAGCATTTTTAACTGTTCTATCATTCAATCATCTATAATCTATGCACATGCAGACCCCGCCATCTTTCTTTGGCACAAATAGCACTGGCGCACCATAAGGCGAGGAGCTAGGTCTTATCCATCCCTTTTCCAGCATTTCATCAAGCTGGGTTCGCAGTTCATCCAATTCTTTGGGTGACATTCTATATATAGGCCCCTTAGGAATACGACTTCCTGGTACAATCTCAGTGCGATGTATGATTGGTCGTTCCACCACACCGCTTGAGGCCTTTTCTTTTGGGTCCGCAACGGATGCCAATTTTGCAACGAACATATCTCTTTCCTCCTCTTTCTCTTCAATTCGATCGCTGGAATATGCATATTGATCATACCAATCCAGCGGTTTGACCTGGAGTTCCTCACCTATCTGGCTAGTTTCTCCCCTTTCTGTTCGTCGCCCGATGAGTCTGTCAGCAGCAGGTTCATCTTCTTCTTCTATAGCTTTTAGTTCTTCCTGCAGTTCTTTTTCTAACTTTTCTTTCATTTCTTTTTTCATTCTTTCTTCCTCCATCTGTACTTTCTTTTTTATTTCTTCTTCTTTCTGTCTCTTTCTTTCTTCTTTCTCTTTCTTCTTTTCGGCCAGACCGCGATCTATTTCAGCCTGCTCTGCAGCCGAGGGCCCAGGCTTCGCAGCGCTGGATCTCATCATCATCCGGTAGGTGCATGTCCTCCCGAAGCCCAGAGGAAAAAAAACTCTAAATAATGGGCCCAACAAAACTGAGAGGGCCAACAACCCTTGCATAGGATAGTCATCCATGCTGGGTGACAGCACAGGAACGGCCTCCGCTGGCCCAACGAGTAGACAACCCCCAGTAGTATACTAACCTTGTCGGGATGGGATCTGCCTCGTTTTTTTTTTTTTTCAAACTCTGGATATCGCAGCTTTAGGAATAACGAATTCCAAAGAATACAAAACTTTTATAATTTCAATATACAATAGGACTTTTTTTTTTTTTTTTTTTACTCGCTGTTTGTGTCCCACTTGATTACCATCTATTTCTTTCTCCTTTCGGTCTGGTTTTGTCTCCTTTTTTTTTTTAACTTTTGTCTGTCTTCCCTCCTGCGCAGGGAATAGGTGGAGTGTTCTCTATGTTAGAGACCCTGAATGATATCTTGTTTGCAACTTGACGTGGCAATCTGCCTCAACCCCCAACTATCTCCTATCTTTACTAATTCCTATAGCGCAGATGTCAGACCAGATATCAGGACGACAGGACCAAACAAGGACTCTGACCAGCTCTCAACTCTGACGTGCCCAGGCACTTGAGTCCTGACCTTCAGACCAGACCAGACCAGACAGCAGCAGCGACCACCAGAGATGAGGGGAAGTAGAGGTTACTCGACACACACTCAGCATGCAGCCAGGTAAGGGGTCAGAAGTTCTTTTCTCTTCTGAAGTCGTCGATGAATTCTCCTCGATCGCTCCACGCTCCACGCTCCACACGCAGGTAAGATCTCCTCCTTAGCCCCTTCCTCTTCGGCTTTCTACTCCCTCCTAATCCCAACCACCTCTCTTCTCACACTTCCACCATAGCCAGCATCTTCAAGCCAGCATATCCTCCTCGCCGGCCTTACTCATGCCAGCACTTCAATGAGCGCAACAAGTTACTGCTGCGATACCAAATTGCAAGGAACGTGACTGTTCATAGCTTGTTGGAGTGTATCTCATTGCATGCATAAATGTCATCATATAGATAGAGAAACTTCACACATAGCCAAATCGAGATGAGATGAGAACCAGATAGCACAGCTTATATTATCACAACAACATTATACAAAGAGTATCTCCAGTCCAAGAGTTCAGTGCCTACAGAGTACAAGTCTCCTTCGTTCCATACTCAATATAGGCCCTGGCTCAGCCAGTGTCTGCCCTCAGATCACAGG